GGCCTGTCAGAGATAGAAAGACACCTCCCACCTGTTCATGCTCTCTGTATGTGTGTATATATATCTCCTCAATATATGTTCCATTCTATATGCATCCGAAGAAGTGGGCAGTAGCCCACGAAAGCTAATGCTCTAATAAATTTGTTAGTCTCTAAGGTGCCACAAGTACTCCTGTTCTTTTTGCGGATACAGACTAACACGGATGCTACTCTGAAATCTTCAAACTAGTTTGGACTCAAGATGGGCCAAAAGTTGAACCTTGAATCTGAAGCTCTTCATACTCCAAGGGTCAAGTTTGGGTTCAAGGCTCTGAACCTCGTTCCACAGCTAGATCCAAGCCAGAAGGGACCGATTTGCCAGTTCTCGTTCAGATGTGGTTCTTGCAAGAACAGCTGATTTCCATTTTCACGTTTTGGGGCAAATATTTTACAGTAACAATAACCAACATATTTTTCAAGGTGAGTTTTATCACAGCAGACTGACAGCCCTAAAGAAGAAAGTCTCATTTATCGAGCTACACGATGGGCAGCAACAAGGCGAGATTCCTCCACACTCACCCCACCACCGGGGCTCCAATGCCCTGGAGGAACCTCCTCTGGGATTGAAAAAAGGAGTTGTCTCCGTGGTCTGTTCAGTTCTAAACCCAACAGCAAGTACATAGAAATGCATCAGTTCAAAGATAGGCCTGCCAACAGCCCCAAGAAAGGAAAGACTTCAGAGTTAGGCAGCATTTGATCTGGTAACCCAGAAGCAAAACACTTGCTGTCCCATTTGCAATCTCCTCAAATGACCTGTTCCCCAGTATTTCACTCTTATCATTTCTGTATTTTGGCAACATCTAATGTCAGATCTGCTGGCTCTTCATGTTTGAACAAGATTGGAACTTCCTTGTGGGGCAGGAGACACATCTTCTTCTGTTTTGTACACATTAAGCACACTGTCTGAGCTTAATAATAATAACACAGTGCAATAGTCTGGTTGTTTCTGTCTGTGCGTGTCACATGCAATGCACAGAAGGAACTCTGCCGGATCAGAGGCACAGTTACTGACCTGGCAAGCACTTGCTGCTGGTTCACAGCCACTGGAAGCTCCTCGGCAGCAATGGCCACTTCTGCTCCAGGACTCTCTCTGGTCACGCTCCCGACATACTGGGCTATCTGAGGCTCTGCTGTGTCCTGAGGGCAAACGGCAACTAAAGACAGCTGTTCTGAAAACAGGCGGCATGTGTACTGAGACACACGATGAAGCAGGAAGCTGTCCCACTCTGGGGCTGCTCATGGACCAAAGAGTAAGGAATGTCATTTTGCTGCTTCCCCCTGCAGCACAAGCCACCAAAATGGTCACATTACCCTTAAGGATATAGTAATCTCCTGCCCTAGTAGTGTTGCTGTGCACTGTTAAACAGCTGCCACATTCCACCCCAGAAGCAGCTGCACTGTAGCTAGATAAATACGCTCTTTGATGAGAATCCATGAACCTCACAGACACAGGGGATAGGCAACTAGATTTGTTCCATTTGTCTGATAAAGAGCATTGGGTGATGGATACCTTGGTGGACACCTGTTCTGTTTCTGTGACGGCGACAACAGGGCCTGGAGACAAAGGTGCCTGGTCAGGGAGAGTTTCAACCCTCAGGATAGCATCTGGAGAATACAAGAAAAAATACCCAGAACTCTTAGCTACAAGCTCTGCACCACTAGAGCATCACTCTGTGAAAATATCACCCAAAATTTGCACCAACCACGTCTGTTAGCAAAACAGCTGCCAATTGCCACCCCACCCTGTTTGGGGAAAACCATGGGAGACCCAGAGAGCATCCTCCATGAATACAGTAGTTTTCACAATGGATGGTAAAACTTTGGAGGTTCACATGACAATACTCAGTCTGTCTCTGAGGGTGGGGGCTTACGGTCAAAGAAAAATCACCATTTTGTGTTAGAAAATGTCTGAGCCAACTATTGAGAACACAGGTAACAGAGCTACTATGGATTATCAGCTCTTTGGGGCACAGACCATCTTTCTAGTCTGTGTTTGTTCAGTAACTAGCTCAACTGTCTCCTAGGCAGCACTGCAAAACGAATAAGGATAATACTATAGCATGGCTGGCAGCAAGTCACAATTGTCTCAGGAATCCCCAAACTTTGCCTAGTTGACAAGCCATATTGGCTACTCACTAGGCATTGAAGGGGCACATCTAATTCACATATAATGGATAAGTTTGAAACTATCACCCTCGTATCGTGCATAGAAGTGTGGCTTGTGCCAAGCCAACTGGCTTAAGGTACAGCAATGCATGATGGGGCCTGTCAGCTCTGCAGTTCAAATCTTTTATTCAAGCTAAGTGCGGTTGTGGCCCAAGCTGCAAAGTTCTATTGTCTGCAGTTGCTAGTCCCCCGGTCTACTTCCTCTCTGCTCTATGGTTCCCCCAAAAGCTAGCACTTCTCTAAATCTTCCCCATTCCCACCTGCTTCCTTCCTGAGGTTTTCCTCCAGAGTGGACAGCTTGAGGTCGTAGGAAGTCCGCATGGTATTGATGTCCTCCTCAAGTCGGGCGCGGGACTCTTGCTCGGCTTCATAGTCTGCCTTCAGCCGGGCCAGCTTCGCCTCATACTCCTGAAAGGCACAAGGGCACTGTGGACAGCCTGGCACGGCACATCCCCATGGTCTACTCCTGGCCATCCCCACCCATTCTGGGCTGCTCGTCACTTCCCTAGCAATATACTAAATACAGAGCTGTATTCACAGCCATTTTCCTCTCTACGATGTAAATGAACACAGCGGCTGCTCACAGGTGACTGGCAATTTTCCATTTATCCACAAGACAGGAATAGCTGACGCAACAATGCCTCAACCTTGCCCTGGAGGGATCTCCTTTAAGAATGAGAGGGGAGTTCGCTCCCTCTAGCACTTTCCCCTCTGATCTCTCGGCCCAGTCTGCCCAGGAGGAGTCCAGTCAGTGCTGATTCTGGAGGTGGATTATGAATTTGGACACCTGCATGTTAGGAAATGGACTAATATCCCAACCTGGATGATCAGCCATCAGGAAATGTACGGATGGCATTAAACACTTGACTGTCAATAAGACAGAGTAATCAGTGTGTGTGTGTGTGTGTGTGTGTGTGTGCCAGTCATTCCTCTCTCCAGCATATATCCAGGCTACGTGAGAGGTTTCAATGCATAATCTGAATTTTCTGATCCTTTCTAATGGTGGATTCTGTGAATCTTGACCCACACAGACAAGCTTGGACAAATCCAAAATTGCAATTAGATGGGAATTTTCCAAGCTAGAGAAGTGCTGGTTCATAGGAAATCTAGAATTTAGGTTTCTGTGTATTTGAAATTGGTCGTTATGATTTTTGGGGACAAATGAGGCAGCTGTGTGTCATACAAACCACATTCCAAATACTATCAGATTGGAACAAATTTTTGTCCCTCCCAATTTGGCCAAATTAGAGCCACCAACAGAACCGAAAGGTTCTATATCTCATTAACGATCACCAAAGCAACCAGCAGCACTGAAGTCACTGGGAGTTTAGTCTAACGAAGGAGCAAGTAGGAGGCTCAGGCTTTGGCCCAATAGTTGGTCAGATCGGATTCACTGAACCCCTTGCTGACAGGAGATTCCACACTAGAATAGCAGGGAGTGCTGAAAGCTAAGGCACTTCTACAATGCAAATTGACCCATGCTGGGAACCCAGTTCCATCCCATCTCCAAAGCAAAACGAAACAATGTTGGGAAACAGTGGTATTGTAACATGGTCTCCAACAATACAGGTTTTGTGTATGGTACAAGACCAAAGATTGAGGTGCGTGGGCAGAGGTGTACCAAGAAGGTCACACAGTACCCCCTTGCGCTACAGTTGTGCTGAGGATTATAAAAGTGGACAACCCCCAGCAGGAAATAATTTGGGGGTCATGCTCCCTGGCTTACTTCTCTGATTAACTGCTTCTCGGCCTCGACATCTGGCTGGGGTTCAGGTAGGAGAGCTGGCTTCACTTCCAGCTGAGTAGTCTCAGCAGGTAACAGACCTAAGGAAAGGAGAGAGATTACTCACACATACAACAGAGGATTGTCCACAGATCATTTGGCAACTAACCAGCAGAAAGAGGCTAACAGATGATAGGGAATGTGTCAGCCTAGACAGTCCTTTAAATTGTGCTAATAGGATACAGTCCATGCTGACAGAGAATGCTCTGTGCTGGGGCTGCACCTGAGAGACAGTCACTGCTGTGTGGAAGGACAGAGTTTTAAACAGCTTGGTTCCAGGTATGTAAAAGGTTGAAGATAATTCTAGTCTAGTCTAGATAGGTTCTTGCTATTATTTTCCAGGATGTAACTGAGGGTTACAATGGTATGATCTTTGCCTATGGCCAGGCTGGCAGTGGGAAGTAGTTTAGAGCGTAGGACACTCTACACAGAAAGGTATCGTTCCCTGGACACTGGATCACATTTCTGAGAGCAGTACAGGTCCGCAGTGATGTGAAAGGGCTATGGCAGTAAATGCAAGAGTGAGACATGCTTGGAAGACAGTGCTAATTGGAGTCTTCCTGTCCCTGGTTTTCATCTGGCTATTCACTCAGGGAGGGGATCATTCTCACCCCCGTTTTACAGACGGGGATATTGAGGCACACAAATGTTATGCAACTTGCCCTAGGTCAGAGAATTAGCATCAGAGCTGAGAACAGAACCTAAGAGTCCTGATGCCTCATCCCCTGCTCTAACTGCTGGAGAATGCTGCCTCTTCACCCAAGCCTAAAGCTACAGGGATGCAGGCAAGATGTCTGGTTAAATGGAGCAGTGATCTTGTGGTTCTCAAGCTTCATAGCCCCTATGCAGCTCCCTTCCCTTACTTCTCCTCAGAGAGAAAAGGCAGGAGTACCCATGTGATAGCAAAGGAAATGAGGCCACTTAAAGTGGCCACCTAACATAACCTCAGGCCCAGGAGGGGAGGATCAACAGTCCGGAGGTGAAGGGGGCATGGACATTGCCTGCTCTCTTGAAGGCTGGTTCTGGCTGGGGCAGGGAAAGGGAATAAATGCCGTTGAGTCTTAGCCCCTACATGAAAGGCTGCTCCTATCCAGGAGTATGGAGGATGGTTCCTAGAGACTGCTCCCCTCCCTAAAGTATCCCCCCATCTGAAAACAGACTACTCCCATCCTAACCTTAACCCTCCCACCCTACTTGAAGGCCAAAGCTGCTGGCGTTGGCCTGAAGAGAGCCTTCCCCACAGGTAGAAGGGAGGTTGGGGAGAAATGCCAATGTGCACTCCGTATATTTAAGGTGTAATTTTCTGGCCAATGATAAAGCAACTCTGGAGCAGTTCAAGGGCATCGTACCTGACAAGTTATTTGTGTTCATCTGTTCAGCCAAAATGGCCTTCAGCTTCCTGATCTCCTCCTGATACTCCCTCAGCAGAGCATCTTTGGGATCTTCATTGATACGGGGCTTGTTCTTGATGTTCTTTGCCCGGTTGGCATAGCGCAAAGTGCTGAGGCTCTCGTCGTAGTTGTTATCAGCAGGAGACAGGCAGGCCACCATGAGGGTCTTGGTGTTTCCTCCAAGGGAGTCCTGCAGCAACCGGGTCAGCTTGGAGTCTCGATAGGGGATGTGTTTGCACCTGCCATCTACCAGGGCTGAGATGACATTGCCCAGAGCTGAGAGAGAGAGGTTAATTTTGGTGGCTTCTTTGAGACGCTCCCCTGTGGCTCCGGTTTTGGACTGCCTCTCGCTTCCAGCTAGATCCACCAGGTTGAGTTTTGCAGCCCTCAGGTGATCCTGCCCTCTCTCATCTGCAAGAAAACAATGTGGGATCGGGTTCTTTTAAGAAGAAGCAACTTCACCAGACAAGGACCAGGCCTCTTGCCCTTAGGCATCACATTTCAATTTGAGCCCTAGACTTTGTATACACATAGGCCCCGATTCAGCAGAGCACATACACATATGCATAACTTCTAACACAGGCTTGAGTCCCATTGAAATCATGTGCTTACCTATTTTGCTGAATCAGGGCCTTGGTTCCCAGAATACACAGCAAAACTTCTTGAACCGCTTTAGGTTCTGACCCCATGAGCACTCTCAACTCCCATAGGCTTCAGTGGAAGATGAGGGTACACAGAATTTTGCAGAAGACACTCGGCACCGTGCAGGATTGGGACTCTTACCTTGTACAGGTTCTTTCATACAAACTATGTCCCCCAGGATGTTTCCTGGAGTTAAATGATAAATGCCAGGCAGGGAGAGAGAAATTAAAGGGGTGGAGATAAGGGAGAATGGAAATGAGAGTCAGGAGTCAATGGGGTAGGAATTCAGCATGGCCAGAAGAAACACATGGGCAGTACAAGCAGCAGAGGATGTGAATGGCTAGAGAGAAGGATCCGTTCAAGTGGACTACCGTGAAAGGGTTGGGGGAACCAAGAAGCCTGGAAGCAATATTTAGTTCAATTTCCAGCCTACAGCTTCTCTCTAGGCCTGAATCAAAGCTGCCTCAGTGTATGGTGATGCTCATAGGTCTGCCTGTGATGTACAGACACAGGAAGTGCCCCTCCCCAGGGAAACAAACGCTATCAAGACGTCACCATGTGGGTTCCTGGCATCCCAAGAGGGGCTGCACACACTCTCCAAGGTTCAGGTTTTACTGCTTAGAAGCTGGTGAAATGACTCAGCAGGAGGAGAGATGGGCACTGTCAACGTCTGCTCCTCCTCAAGGGACAATGGGGAATATAAACAGAAAACAAGAAAACTCCCCAGATTGGGATTCAGCCCAGCCCCCTGAGCCTGGGTACAGAGCCTGACCTTCCTAAAAGGAGTCTGCCCCCTTTGCCTCCTAAGCAACCAATGTACAGCTCTCCCTGAGTACCACTGCATGAGGAAGCCAAGAGCTAAGCTGAAGTTAACACCTTGTTTACCAGGGACCAGGAAGTGACCCTCCCCTCTGTAACATTTCCTTCCTGCCTTTCACCCCACAATAATGCTAAGTGTAATGGGCTCAGGAAGGAATCCCCCCCCCGCCCATGCTCATGTATTCTGGGTTTGTTTGTTTTTTGAGGGGGGATCGCCTTCCTCTAAAGCTTCAGCAGCAATACCCATGGCTAGAGGTGGGACAGTGAACAGGTGGGACAGGGCTCTGAGGTGACTGTGACGTTACACTCCATATGATTTTATGAAAATATGCTAATGAGTGTGAATATAATGTAGCTGGAATATGCTTCATGCAAAAGATCTCTTGTAAGGTATCATTACAAAGCTTACAATCTACTGAGTGTGGTCATCCAATTTGTATAAATGTAGCATTCTTGTATCTGAAACTAGAAATATGAAACATAACTCTGAAATCCTACTGTAATTATGCAAAGTGTGGGTCATTAATGGTGGTTTGAAATCTTGATGGCTCCCATCAACTAGGACAGTTGGTTGTAAATAGCTCTGTTTACTTGCAAGCCTTCCTGTGAGTCAGGCCAGGAACAATGAAGGCTTGGGGTCTCCCAAGACATGTGCCCATGTCACCTGGTACTGGGATCCATCTTAAACCTGGTGCTTTTCCATTTAGAAGGATGGGTGGGGACCCAAAGAGACAAAAGATTCCCGCCTTGTGCCAAAGCTATATAAGGGGGGTGGAACAGAACAAAGGGGCTGCAGTCATGAGCAGGGGCGGCTCCAGGCACCAGCACACCAAGTGCGTGCCTGGGGCGGCGTGCTGGTCGCTGTGAGGGCGGCAGTCAGGCAGCCTTCGGCGGCATGCCTGCGGGAGGTCCGCCGGTCCCGCGGCTTCGGCGGTGGGTATGCTGAAGGCGTGGGACCGGCAGATCACCCGCAGAAATGCCACCGAATCCGCGTGACCCGCAGATCGCCCGCAGGTGTGCCGCTGAAGGCCGCCTGACTGCTGTGTTTGGGGCGGCAAAAACATAGAGCCACCCCAGGTCATGAGAAATCCCTTAGCTACCACCTGAGCTGGAACAAGGACTATACCAGGGGAAAGGATTGGGCCCAGACTAGAAAGGAGTCTAGAGTGTGAAAGAAGCTTATTGGAACATCTCTGAGGGTGAGATTTATCTGAAAGCAGTTTCTTAATGTATTAGGCTTAGACTTGCGTGTTTTTGTTTTATTTTGTTTGGTAACTTACTTTGTTCTGTCTGTTATTACTTGGAACCACTTAAATCCTACTTTTTCTATTTAATAAAATTACTTTTGCTTATAAATTAACCCACAGTAAGTAATTAATTCCTGGGGGAGCAAACAGCTGTGCATATCTCTTTATCAACGTAATAGAGGGCGGACAATTTATGAGTTTACCCTTTTATAAGCTTTATACAGAGTAAAATGGATTTATTTGGGGTCTGGATCCCAATGGGAGCTTGGTGTCTGGGTGCTAGAGACAGAAGCACTTCTTAAGCTGTTTTCAGTTAAGTCTGCAGCTATTTGGAGGACTTGGTTCAGACCTGGGTCTGTGTTTGCAGGAGGCTAGCGTGTCTGGCTCAACAAGACTGCATACTAAAGTCCCAAGCTGGCAGGGAAAACGGGCTCCGAGGTAGTCTCAGCACATCAGGTGGCAGTCCCAAGGGGGAGTCTCTGTGTCACGGTGGCGTAATCAAGCAGGATCTGTGCACAGCTGATTGATCTGAAATGCTGGTAGTGATTTTAAGTGATTTTTAAATGTGCTGGCTGGAGAACAGACAAAGTGGTTACCAGTTTGTAATTTTCTGTTTGCTTATTTCGGGCAAGGGAAATAGGGACAGAAAAGTAAGCAAAAATAAGTAAGAGTGAAGATCAAAAGAAGCTAAAACTGCACAAGTTGCAAACTGCCCAGAAAGTCTGAACAGTGGGCGCTGGGAAAGTCTCTGTTAACTAAGAAGCCCCTGAGCTGAGTGGGTATATCTCACTTAATCATTTCCCTGCCATTGTGGGGCCTCAGGCACTTGTGCAGCTCGGTCCCGTGTAATCTCTGCCTGTGGCACAGAACAGGCTAGTCTCCTGTGGGCTGTAATAATTTGGTCTAATTTCAGTTGATGGGTTTAGTGGGCTGGTGCCAATTGGTGTTGAGGGCCTGTGATATACAGGTCAGAGTAGATGATCTGGTGATCCTTTCCTGCCTTAAACTCTAGAACTGTCTGCATGAGTGAGAAAAGCTGCAAGCAGTTCCCCGCAGAACCAGTCTGGCCAGGGGGATTTCTCTCCAATGTGAGCCACTCCTTCCCCATCCAGGGCGCGGGCATGCTGCCCACCCCTGCTAACTAAGGACTGAAGGGTGAAAACCTGTCCCCAAAGACTTCAGTGGGGCCAGAATTTCACCCCAGCACTCCAATGTGCTCTGATTCATTGGGGTGTGTTGAACCATTTGACTCTCAGTCTCTCAGCACCTCCATAAATTACCCCACTCTCGGGGGTGTACAGAGCACTCTGAGCCAGAAGGAAGGTGTTTTTAAAGGTACGCATTTGTCTCTTTTTCAAGTAGCTCACTAGGCGGAAAACAACTGTCCTAGACCCTCCCTAAGCCCCATTCTGCCAGTCAGCATCTGAGGTGCTAGATAAGTAGCAAATGCTCATTCAGTGAACTAAGGAAAATAAAACAAAAGGAGAGTGATTCTTCAGTGAATAAAACTAGGCTACAAAGTCAGACTTTGCAAACTCTACCTATGGTAGATAATGTGGCCCCGATTATCACAGTATCTCAGCACCTCATGATTTTTCATGGATTCATCCTCACCCCCATGAAGCTGAGCAGGGCTAGTATCCCCACTGTATAGATGGGGAACTGTGGCCCAGAGAGACCAAGTGATCTGTCCAAGATCACATAAGGAGTCTGTGACAGAGCAGACAATTAAATCCACGTCTCCCATGTGCCAGGTTACCACCCTAAGTGCTGGATCATCCTTCATTTCAAACATCCCTTTCCCTGCTATTCCCAGCCATCACAAACCCAGGTTTAAGAGTAAAACTGGCCACAAGCCTCTAGAACAGCGTGAGGCTGACAATGGAGCGCATCAAGGGTTCAATGGGGTCAGCACCACTGTGATGGCCCCATCAATATCTGCAAAATCTAAACTTTCATTTCAAAAAATTAGTTTCTAGCCATTAAGGCTGTGAAGAAAACCTTCCAAATGTCAACAAAGCATAAACTGATGCACTCTGTGAAAGCTGAGTTCTCAGTTAGACAGACAGAAACAATAGCTCCAAGACGTTAACTGCCTATTCATCACAATGGGGTGTTGACACCGAACCCTAATTATTATGACCTAAAGCACTGCTGGCTATTTCATCACTGATCATTCTGGTAGAAACATCTGGCAGCTCAGGGATTGTGGGTGAAACTGGGGAAAACAGGTGGAGTTTGAAAATAGTGCCACCCCTTCTTACTGTCCTTTCTGAGCCCTGGGGCAAATGGCCATTCTGAAGAGTGGGGGTTTTACAGCTTAAGTAAGTAGCAACTGGCAATTAAAAATTAAGTAGTTGTTTTGGCTCTTGCCAGTAATTGTACCCAAGGAGCTTGTTTGTTTCAATCAATACAACTACTGGGTTAGTTTCCATGGTGTAACAAGTCCCCAGACTCTTGCTAAAATGCCTGCAAGCAGGTTGGAAAGTCAGGCTGTCACTGTCTAATTCTCTTCTAGTCCATCAACTAATTCTGGCAGAAGCATGAGACAAATCTAAAACTTCTTCCCTCCCACCAAACCAAAGGGGAAAGCACCCGTTCCTTTGAATGCTCAGAGAGGACTAATGGGAAGAGACCTGTGTATTTCATAACTCTGCCGCCACAGAATCTACTATTTGCTGCATATTTGCACTCTGGAATCTAAATGTGCATTAAAAAGTCTTTGTAGACCTCGAGTATCAGGGGGTAGCCGTGTTAGTCTGTATCTACAAAAACAACAAGGAGTCTGGTGGCACCTTAGTCTGTTAGTCTTTAAGGTGCCACCAGACTCCTTGTTGTTTTTGTAGACCTCGTGGTTGTGAAGGGAATCTTAAAAATATGAACTGTAAGTAAGTGATGCTGTGTTTCTTCCCAAGACTGCAGACAGCTTGATCTTCCCCATTCATCTTAAGGGGGGTCCAATCTGAAACCTAAAGATGACAGTTTAAATATCAACTTTGTTAACTATTTGACTGATGGTCATTTTAGTAGAAACATCCAGCTAATGTGCTTATTCCACAATCCCAAACTTGCTCCTACACCTCCCCAATTGCCCCAAACGCAGACTGTCCAATATACAGCTGCCAAAACACCATATTTCACCCCCCTCTCTCCTCCATCTTCTACTATGCAGCTCTGGATTGCCAATAACAAATCTTGAGGCATAAAAACCGAAAACACGAACAAAGGGTAAAACAAATGTAATTTAATTTCAAAATAAAGAGCAGAGGCCACTATACTGTCTGGATTATGACGGTCACGTTAAAGCCAGTAAAAACGTCCAATCTCAACTGTAAATGAAACGGATGCAGAATTCCCAGTCTGCTGCACTACGGCACTGCAAAATCCAGAGACACCCAGCTTGCCGTGGAATGCATGGGGCTTCCCTCAGAAGTTAATTAAATGACAAGCCATTCTCACCCTGCTAGTTTGGGCTACAAAAACAGAGGCACCACTTTTTGAAAGCCTCTAAACAAGACAAATAATTCCAATTTAGACTGCAACCCAAGCCCTACCTGGAACACGAGAGGAGTGTAAGCATTTACTTTTGGTTCGTAGGCCAGCGTCAGGATTTGAGGGTCCCACATTATAGAGGTTGGTGAAGCAGGACTTGGTTCAGCAAATCAAGGCACGGTTAACACTCACGTGATCTGCTAATCGGGTTATTCTGAGGGTCACTCCTCATTCCTCCATTTTTAGTAAATGTTTGGTGGTAAATTCTCTATTCATGGAAATGAGGGATATCAGCAGCATCTGCGATTACAGTTGGAAGACATTGTGCAAGTTTCCCATGAATGGAGATCAGATGAAGGAAATAAAACCAGACTCTTAGCACTCATCAGTGGAGCATGGGAGACTGAACTCCTCTTTCACTCCTACAGGTGATCCTTCCAGGTCCAGGTTGGGACACACTGGCATGGTGATATCTGGGGGCAACTTGCCCTGTTACTAGCCATACTTTATTGAGTAAAGAAAGTCCAGTGGCTAGAAGCCGAAGTCAGGAAAATCCGAACTGGAAATAAAATGCACATTTTTTGGACAGTGAAAGTAATTTTCCACTGGATTAGACTACCTAGAGATTCTCTTTCCCTGGGATCTTTTAACTGAGATTAGATATCCGTCTAAAAGATATGCTGTAGTTCAATCAAAAGTTCGTAGGTTCAATGCAGGAAGAACTGGGTGAAGTTCTCTGGCCTGTGTTAAGTACGAGGTCAGACTAGTTAGAGGTGTGCATGAGTACTGCAGTGGAGCACCCATAAGGACAAACATCTCGAAGAACTCAAATTACAGAAAGGTAAGTAACCTCTCCTTCTCCATGTCCAGTGAAGGCAGGACAAGAACTAATCAGATTAATCTGCAGCAAGGGAGATTAGATATTAGGAAAAACTTTCAAACTATAAGAATAGTTAAGTACTGGAACAGGCTTCCAAGGCAGACTGTGGAATCCCCGTCATGGGAAGTTTTAAGAACAGGTTGGACAAACACCTGTCAGGGATGGTCTAGGTTTTTTTGGTCTTGCCTCAGGACAGGGGGCTGGACTTGATGACCTCTCGAGGTCCAGTCCAACCCTACATTTCTATGATTCTGATTCTATGATAATAATGGTCCCTTCCAGCTTTACAATCTATGAATTCCAAGTGCAAGTGTGGTCTTCAGCACCGGGGCTGTCAGTCCAGCACCTTTCAACAGCATCAAATAAGGATTTTAGAAGAAAAAGAAAAACAGAGGGAAATATGTTCCCAAACAATGTGTAGGACACATGTCCCCCTCTCTCCATGGGTGAGCAAGGGAAAAGACATTTAAAAAATACTCAGTCACTTTGCACTGTAGTGAATGCTGGTGCCAAGGCACAGCTCTCATTCTAGACTAAAACTGGGCAAAGTATTTTCAGCAAATAGAGCATTCACTGAAAAATGCATTTTTCAAGGGCTCTGAAACCATTTGCAAATGTTGGTCAAATTTAACAAATAGTTTTGCCCCAAAAAACCAGACAACATTTTTGAAAAGGTCAAAATACCTTAGAAAAAATCAAAATAAAGCGTTTTGAAAACGTCCATTTGAACGGATATTCAAAACATTTAATTTGGACTCACATGGAATGTTTTCAGTTTTTGTTTTGGT